GGGACCGGCGGCGGGGCGCGGGAGCCGAGGTCCCTGTGTGTGTCGGTGCGAATGGGTGCGGGAGGTGCCGCGTGACCCCCGCGTGGACGGAGGTGCCCGTGTGGGTCAGTGTGTCGGTGCGAATGGGTGCGGGAGGTGCCGCGTGACCCCTGCGTGGACGGAGGTGCCCGTGTCGGTCAGTGTGTCGGTGCGAATGGGTGCGGGAGGTGCCGCGTGACCCCCGCGTGGACGGAGGTGCCCGTGTCGGTCAGTGTGTCGGTGCGCGGGACGTGCCGCGTGCCCCTCCATCGCGGTGCAATGGGCCGGCACTCCGTGTCCCTGGACCTGTACGCTCAAAACCACGAGCAGCCCCTTTTGGACAAAGCTGCAAGATGGACAAATTTGTGCTCCTAAATTTCCAAGGAGAACACATTCCTGTGTCACCTAAGGAAAAGAGTCCTGGAGATGTTTGCAGGTTGCTGTGAATGCCAGGCTGGTGTTTCCAGAATGGGTTTATGACAGGGCATGATCCTTGGAGCACTTCGTGGAAATCCATCTGTGATGGTGTATTGAAGCCTGTGATCTGATTCTTGCCAGGTACCACGAGTGGATGAAATCGGAGGAGCTGCAGCGCCTGACGGCGTCTGAACCCCTGAGCCTGGAGCAGGAGTACGAGATGCAGCGCAGCTGGCGGGAGGACGCCGATAGTGAGGATTTTAAGCATTTTCTATAAGTGCCAAGCGGGTCCCTGCTAAGAAACCAGTGGGCTGAGAGCACCTGGTTAGTGGAATCCACGAGCCCGACCAGAGGGGATCTAAAACCTCCTGCAACAGTAGCTCCTGCACCACGAAACGTCAGCCTTGCTTTCTGCTTAGCAGCCAGCTCTACTTTAGTACCCCAGCATATTGGCTTACTCTGACCATCCTGAAAGCTCCTGTCCTTTGTGGAGTTGGGGGTTGTTGCTCTTCAATATTGGGAATCAGAGGAATGGTGGTGGTTTGGAGGAATGGGAATATGCCCACAGTAGCTTTTCTAGATGGATCAGAGCATGTTTAGAGCTGTAAAATACTCAGAGAAATAGAACCATGGGTGTTGGCATGCTTTTTACCCAGTTTTTCATAGATAACAGTGATTTAGTTTCCACAGCACTGTCTGCTGAGCTGCTGCTGCACAGTCAGCACTTCCAGGTCTGATTATCATAAAAAGGTGGAAGGGAGTTACCTTTTTTTCGACAAGAAAATGAACAACTTCATAATTACCTGTTTGAGATATGTTGACTGAATCAGTTCTCTAGTTCTCCTACAGGTAATGAATCACTGCCCATAAAAGCCTAGCAGAAATACAGTGAGCTACAAAACACTGAGGCTGGCAAAGACCTTACCTTGGAACATTTGTCTTAACTGGCATTAAAAGCCTTACTGACAGTAGCAGTAAAATGCATTAAGTGAATCACTAAGTCTCAATCTCTTGCACCAAACAGAATTCTTTGCCCAAACTTCCCGCAAAGAGAGGTAAAGCAGGGGGACCTCAATCATGGGGTGAAAGTTCTGGAGCTCTTGTTTTCAGTCTTAAGTCTGTGTAGTTCTTAGCACACCTGAAAACCCTGCTGCTTCTCTGTTCTCCCCAGAGTGCACGTTCATTGTGCTGGACACGGAGCGGTGGTCGGCGCAGGCGTGTGCGGAGGAGGACTGCATGGTGGGAGATGTGAACCTGTTCCTCACCGACGTTGAGGATCCCACTCTGGGCGAGATTGAAATTATGATTGCAGGTAAATTGCTCTGTGCTGGTCTGCATCCTTTGCTGCTATGGGTCATAATCTCTTCTGAAAATTACCCAGATATGTTTGACATAGCTATGTCCTGACTTCTGCATGTGCCTGTCTCTTTCAGAGCCCAGCTACCGTGGCAGAGGATTTGGCAAGGAGGCAACTCTGATGATGATGTCCTATGGTAAGGATGGCCCAACGCAGGAGAATGGTGGTAAAGTCATGAAGTGATCTACAAGCACATGCTCTTAGTGATACAGACAGGCTGACAAGGGCTGCATCTGCGCCAGAAATGGGAGTTTTCTCCCTTTGTAGATATGACAGCAGGGAG